TTGGGGTGAAAAACCGGGAATTCGGGCAAATCCCACGGTTTGGGGTGAAAAACCGGGATTTGAGGTGAATTCCTTGGATTGTGGGACAATTCCCACATTTTGGGGGAAAACCCCGGGATTTTGGGCAATTCCCACGTTTTGGGGGCAAATCCCAGATGTTGGGGTGAATTCCCAGATTTTGGGGCGAATTCCCAGATTTTGGGGCGAATTCCCAGATTTTGGGGCGAATTCCCAGATTTTCAGGTGAATTCCCAGGTTTTGGGACAATTCCCAGATTTTGGGGCAAATTCCCAGGTTTTGGGGCAAATTCCGGGGATTTTGGGACAATTCCCAGGTTTTGGGGCGAATTCCGGGGATTTTGGGACAATTCCCAGGTTTTGGGGCGAATTCCGGGGATTTTGGGACTCACCGTGGGCGGGGCCTGGGGGCCCTTCCCCCCCCCCGGGGGTTGGGGGGGGGCCTTGATCCCGCCCGGCTTCGCCTGCGGAAAAACGGGAAAAAAAGTGGGAAAACGGGAAAAAAGTAACAAAAAATGGGGAAAAACGGGGGAAAATGGGAAAGGACAGGGAAAAATCAGGGAAAAGTGGGGGGAAATGGGAAAGGATTTGGAAAATTGGAAAAAAATTGGGGAAAATGGGAAAGAAATGGGACAAAATGGAAAAAAATGGGGAAAATTGGGAAAGCTGGAAAATTAACAGAGAAAATTGGGAAAAAACTGAATTAAATTGGGAAAACCTTGGAAATAAATTGGGAAAATTTGGAAATAAATTGGGAAAAACAGAAATAAATTGGAAAAATGGAAATATATTGAGAAAATTGGAAATAAATTGGGAAAAATTGGGAATAAATTGGGAAAATTGGAAATAAATTGAGAAAATTGGGAATAAATTGGGAAAAATTGGGAATAAATTGGGAAAATGGAAATAAATTGGGAAAACCAGGATTAAATTGGGAAAATTGGAAATAAATTGGGAAATACTGGAATTAAATTGGAAAAAATTGGAAATAAATTGGGAAAAACCAGGATTAAATTGGGAAAATTGGGAATAAATTGGGAAAAATTTGGAATAGATTGGGAAAATTGGGAATAAATTGGGAAAACCGGGATTAAATTGGGAAAATTGGGAATAAATTGGGAAAACCGGGATTAAAGTGGGAAAACCAGGATTAAATTGGGCAAATTGGGAATAAATTGGGAAAAAGCGGGATTAAATTGTGAAAATTGGGAATAAATTGGGAAAAAACAGGATTAAATTGGGAGAAATGGAAATAAATTGGGAAAATTTGAAATAAATTGGGAAAAAACAGGATTAAATTGGGAAAATTTGGAATAAATTGGGAAAAACCAGGATTAAATTGGGGAAAATGGAAATAAATTGGGAAAAATGGAAATAAATTGGGAAAAATTGGAAATAAATTGGGAAAACCTGGGATTAAATTCAGAAAATTGGAAATAAATTGGGAAAAACGGAAATAAATTGGGAAAATTGGAAAGAAACTGGGAAAAAGGGATTAAATTGGGAAAAACTGGAATAAATCGTGAAAAAGCGGGATTAAATTGGGCAAATTGGGAATGAATTGGGAAAAAACGGGATTAAATTGGGCAAATTGGGAATAAATCATGAAAAACCGGGATTAAATTGGGCAAATTGGGAATAAATCGGGAAAAACCAGGATTAAATTGGGCAAATTGGGAATAAATTGGGAAAACCGGGATTAAAGTGGGAAAACCCGGATTAAATTGGGAAAAACCGGGATTAAATTGGGAAAATTGGGAATAAATTGGGAATAAATCGGGAAAAACCGGGATTAAATTGGGCAAATTGGGAATAAATTGGGAAAACAGGGATTAAATTGGGCAAATTGGGAATAAATTGGGAAAAGCGGGATTAAATTGGGAAAACGTGGATTAAATTGGGAAAATTGGGAACACGTGGGCGATCCCGGGGACGCGGCGCTCACCTGGCCGGGCTGGGGGGGGAGGGGCGGCCCCGCCTTGCCCGGAGCCGGAGCCGGATTCCCACCGGGAACGGGAACGGGAACGGGAACGGGAACGGGAACGG